TTCCCACCACCCGCTGAGCCAGGAAGCCACTCCAATGAGCGTCTGTCATCACCCATGGAACATGCACCAGAGATATCCTGAAACCCCCACATAGAGTTGCGGGCACTCCAAGCACCCAACCCTCGACTATTTAGCACTTCTTAGATTTCGACTAAGAACAGTTAAAGAGATTCAGAAGAATTCAAAAAAATTGTGACCAACCTCTAGCACTAGAATAAAAATTCAGGAAATTTATCACAAAATATGAAGAGTATCAGACCCACCTCACCATCTCGTCTCTCTCCACAGCTAAATAGGAAATGGAGAGGAACCCCTTGCCACTGTCTGCCTCCGCCCATGGTCGACACTCTCCATCGACCCAGAACCCAAAATAGTGCACCAGTCAATTACTGCCCCTATCCCCCCAGATGCAGGACTTCCCTCCAAGACGCTACCTCCGTGGGATAGGACTGCCTCCCATTCCGGCAACCGACCAAAACTCCCGAGTAAGGAGAATTCAACCCACAGCCTCTGAGATTGCCCCCTTCCCCCTGAGGGAAAGAAACACCCCCCTTGCTGTGTTTCGCTTGGGGACAGTCTGCCTTCAACAAGGGTCAAAGGGTTCCACAGCGGGCCCAAATCATCAATACAGAGATTCCACAGATTGGCGAGGGTTCAGCCTCCCGATAAGTCGGTGCAACTCCAACAAAACAATCTTTCATCATCATTTCTTTTCCTTCTAATAGAAGAGAAAAAAAATACAGCTGTCTTCTCCTCATATATGGGGGACACGCTGCATTTTGCTACCCTATTTTCTTCTCTCAATCTTGTATCTACCTCACCCTAGCTACCTACCTAGTGGGTTACCTGTATTCCAGCAGAAGCAGTTTCTCTATTCAGAAGTCAGCTATCCTGAGGTATTCCTACCTATCTCTGCTCTGTGCGGGGAGCCGCACCCAAGCTCCTAACACCTGGCGCACGCCGGAAAGCGAGGTAGCGTCACTTCCACAACCAGCCAGGAGGGACAAGCCAACTTTCTCAGTCGGCGGACCCAAAGTATGCCACACAGGGGGTCAAGGGGAATGGAATGGATGCCATGGGGAATTGAACCCACGACCTCCCGTGTACCACTTGTGTGCTCAACCAACTGAGCTGGGCTGCTTGGCCTTTCATCGTCAGTTTCATTTTTTGCAGTCTTTGTCAGTCTGAGTCTTTTTCGGGGACTCGTAATTTTTTCTGGTTCTCTGCTTTTTGATTCGTTGCTTGTGCCTTGTTCACTGCTTTTCACTTTGCTGCTTTGTGCTACTTGTGTGCTCGCCTGCCTCCCCCGTGCCCTTTAGCCCTCACTGCTTTCTGCTGCTGATCTGCCAACCCACCTCCCCTGTGCCTCCAGCCATTGCGCTTTGTTGTAGAAACGCATTGCCTCCCTGCTTTTTGCCTTGCTGCTTGCTGCTCATCTGCCCACTCGCCTCCCCTTTCCGCAACAGGAGTGTTCAATGAATGAAGTCGATGTATGCATGAGTCTTGGCTTTCACAAAACGGTTGTGTGATTGAAGTTGTTCAGTGCAGTTCATCAAATTTTTGGTATGCTGTTATCTCATCCGAAAGTACGCAGCTTGCCGTGATATTCGTAGTGGTGGTCTTGTCTAGCATAAAACATACACACATGTTATGTGCCTGATTGCAACGAGACACAGCATGGCATCCACATGTTCCCATACGCATGCGCAACGACAAGAAATCTTGGAGAAAGCAATTCACACCACAACGGATGAGAGAATACACAGCGGAAACACTTTTTTAAACCAAAAATAGAATTGAGATTAATCAATTCTAATTAATTCCCCGTTCTCCCCAGCCAATCAACGGACTGTTTTTCAACCACGTTATTAACACCAAGGAACCAATTATTTACAAGTTTCATGGAGTAATCGGGAGTCTTTCTTCTTCCTCCCTTGCCACCAAGCTCTGGCTATGGAGCAGATAGCGCCCAACCTATCAAGACACCCAACACTACACCGCCCTCCTGCGTCTGACACAGCAACCTGCAGCGACCAATCCCAGCTGCGGATGAAGAGTCCACTCAGTAGGGGAGCACAGCTCTCAGGACCACTCTTAAACACAGTCTCATGGAAGAGCTGCTTCGAAGGCAGCTGAAGATAGCCCCAACAGCACACTTGGAGGAAGACGCCAACCAGCGCATGGGAGATGAAGCCCAGTGCTGCAATGGATAGAGCTGGCCCGACACAGCTATGGCTGCCCGCTATCCAGGGAGAAGGGTTCCTCAGCGCTGTTGAAAATAGCGCTGCAGCAAAACGTGACCTCCCGCCTCTGTGAAAAGAAAAAAAAAACGAAGAACCCGTTCCCCATCGGCCTCTGCCCACCTCCTAGGCCCAGCACGCAGCAACAGCCTACCGAACTATCTGACCGTCCCCACAGCCCAGATTTACGGCCTACCTCTCCTTGACTTCGACTTAGACCTACTACAGCCCGAACTGCCACATTCTACATGAATCTGGACTGAAAAACAGACACAAGAAAACCCTACCACCAAGAACAGGAAAAGCCTGCGGGCCTACAACCAACTGCTGCAGAAAAGACAAAGAAAGGCCCCAATGACCTAAGACTGCCCAACAGAGACTAGCAGTACCGGATCTATGCATCAAGCCCTGGAAGGCACATGGCGAACAAGCACACATATGAACACCAGGTCATGGGATGAAGTCCCGATGGCGTCGAAACAAGAAACAGCAAACCCAGCCTGCATGAGAAACTGCAATCCATCACACACACAAACACACACATGTTGCATGGATGGCAGATTGTACGGGGATTCCATGAGAATTGGAACGAGACAACGAAGCAGCCCATGTGCGGGGATGGCATGCATTGATTGAGAAGCGATGGTGGAGAGGCCCTCACTCCACTACACAACAGTCCAACATGCATTTGGATCCGATGCTTATAAACGTTGGACTCACCCGAATGTACCTTGTACAGAAAGCAGCCAAGTGCATGTAGAATGTTGTGTAGTCGAGCTAGGTGTACATCTCGGTCCTCGCCCGAATGCACCTCACCCAGAAAGCATCCAAGTGTATGTAAAATGCAGCGCTCACCAGATGTTCCCATTTGGTAAGCCGGCAACAGGAGGACCGAGAAGAGGAGCAGTGAGAGCGGGAGGAAGAGGACGATGAGGAGGCGGACGCGAGAAAGCAGAGGAAGCGGAGGAGGTGGAGGAGGAGGAGTAGGATGAGGAGGATGAGGAGGATGAGGGAACAAGAGCAAGGAGTGCAGGAAGAGCGGGAGGATGAGGAGAGGGAGTGGCAGGAGTCGAGCGGGATGAGGAGAAGAGGAGGCGCTGGAGCGGGAGGAGGATGACGATGAGTAGGGGGAGAAGGTGAGGAAGCGGGGGAAGCGGAGCAAGCTGAGGAGGAGGTGAAGGATCAGGATGAGGACGAGGGAGAGGAGGAGCAAGAGTACAAGTGGCAGAAGACGAGTGGAGGAGTGGCAGGAGGAGGAACGCGATGAAGAGAGGAAGGACAACGGGATGACAAGGAAAGGGAGCAGGACGAGCGGGAGGAGGAACGGGAGAAGAAGGGGCAGCACGACGACCATGGGAAGGAGACCAGTGAACGGTGGGGAGGAGGCAGAGGGGGAGGATGACGAGCAGCAGGAGGAAGGTCGACGAACAGGAGGAGATTGGGGGCCTCGACAGCAGGTGTAGCGGTGGCGGGCTGACTTGTGTAACTGCTGTTTGCTAGGGGTGGTGGAAAGGAGGGTTCAAGGAAGGGGTAAGGGAAAATTTGAGGGACAGTTGGTTGTTTGGGAGTGTTTGGCGGAGGGGCGAAGGAGGGGAGAGGGAGTGGGGGGTTCATGGAAGGGGTTTGGGAGAGGGTTCGAGAGCAGTTGATTCTTGGGTGCGCAGGCGTTAGGGTAGGGGAAATGGTAGAGGGGAGGGCAGGGGGGAAGGTAGGGCGAAGGGTGCAGGGAGGGTAGGAAACAGAGGGTTCAACGGGTTTGGAGAGGGTTTGAGGGAGGCTGAATGTTTTTGGTCAGCTGGTTGCCTGGAGGAGAGTCCAGGGAGAGATGAGGGAAGGGAAGGGTGAGGGTGAGGGAGGGATTTGGGAAGTTGTTTTGGGAGGTTGGAGGGTTTAGGGAGGGGGATTTGTGGGAAGTCTGGGGTCAGGGGATGACAAGGTTGTGCACCCAAGGATGCCTGTGTCACTAACACACATGGCAACATGGCATCAACACGCAATGTTCTGCAGCCTGAAACCCATATCCAACACGAGAAGCACTATAGTTGAAGCACCCTGGTTGCCTCCATGTGCTCTGAGATGGAAAACACACCACACAGGAATCACAAACGAAGTTGCACTCTCTCAGCCCGGTTAGAATCGTTTCCGGTCTGCACAGACTCTGCAGCATGCAGTTGATACACCAGGCGTTGAAACCCTTTGTGGGAAAACCACAACGATTACTGCCATGTGCCAGCAATTACAACATCAGTTCACCACCTCTGAGCACCCGAGCAACCATTTCAGCATGGTGTGAGCCACAGCAGGAAGGCAGGGTATAAGGGGTGAAGAAGCACCAGGCTGGTTTGCGCATCGAGTCCGATAGACACAACACTGGAGAAAAAACATGGATGTGGACAAACTGACCTGATGACTCTGCCCGTTTTCTTTCACTGACACGCCAACTTCCATTATGACTGATGTATGTGGACAAACTGACCTGATGACTCTGCCCCTTTTCTGTTGTGAAATCATCACCATTATTGCAACCAATTTGAACCAAGCCAATTCCCTTGATACTCACAATTGCACCATACAAGTCACCCTTCTATGTAGTAAACCAACACGAAGCAATGGACGTAAACACTGGCTGCCGAGTCTGGCTCCTTGATACATGCAAGCTTGTGTACACTTGCATGTATGCTGATAGATGTGCTCACATCTGCAAACAACGCACACGATAGTGCTCCAGCGTTGACATAGCTAGTATACGAAATTGCTTTCGCGTTTGGGTGCTCGTGTTCCTCGAATATCACGTCCACTGACCAGGACACCTCAGACAACAGTGCAAAGCCAGAGAAAAAATTGGCCTTTGCTGAGCAGCACACCTCAGACAACAGTTCAAAGCCAGAGAATAATTGGCCTTTGCCGACTCACCACAGTCACGACTTAGTCTCACAAGAACCATTTGCTCAAACCCTTTCTGGAACAGCAAGCAGCCTGCAGTGAAGCCATGGATTTTGCAATACCCTTGAAGCCAAACCCCAGAACGTAGCAGGACTTGTGTCAGACGACTAAAACGAATGCTGATATAACCGACTGTATTGGAGTCTAAGGCAGTGGAAGATCTCACTGGACTCAGAGATCAGCCATAATGATGAACCACACAGGAAGAGTCAAATGTTGCCAAAGAGCAAAAGGACAGGAAAATGAACGGTGGAACTTTTGACAAGAGAAAAATTTTCTAAATTACTGTTCGCATAGAAGTGCCAAAAGAAGCACAAGTCTGTCCCGCAAAGGTACACACTTCCACTCATCTGAATTCAAATGCATACAACAGAAAGGAATCAACGCAGCAACACAACTGTAGGCTCTATCAGTGAACGCTTAGAAATTGGAACACAAAAAAAGTCAAACAGGGCGAGGTGGGAGAACGCGAGGAATATTACAACCATAGTTGCCAGACAGAAATACGTGCCAAACAAGCGAGAGGCGCAAGCGTCACCATCGATCCACTTCTACCATCTAAAATCAGGCTGAGTTGACTACAACATTCCACAGAAAGATCGTCCGTCGAGGAAGAGATGAACTATTCTACGGCCATTCTCCTACCTCGGGGAGTACTACCATAGGACTGATTCTTATCCTGCTCGCAAACAATTGTCCACTCCCGTAGTTCAGAAGCTCTTCAGAAGGCCAGCGTGTAATGGCAGCCAGACACCACTAATACACAGCTTTCCTCAGAGAGGCTGTGCACCCTTCATATGAAAACAAGGGACCCCACGCAAACCCTAGCCATGCCAAGCTTTAGGAACTACAGATGCATCCTGAGTCTGTTCCCCCAAGAAACACTATGACAATTTGCTGCCGACTAGTTCGTTCTATCCCATGCATTGACCACGGGCCGATACGGTCCCAGCTGCTGCTTGCAGCAAAGCAAATGCCACAAGGCATTGACAGGGTATGAGCCCAAACACAAGAGCTTCAGAGTTCCAGGCATACAAACACAATGATTTGAATAGGCCACAGCTGTTCGCAAGCAATCGATATTATTCTTAGCCCATAGATCCAGTGCGTATTTTTACCCTTTCCTGCACGACTCTCCACGTGGTCCTCCCAGTAGCATTGGTCATTGTTACCGAGCCGCTTGAGCGATCGCAATGTCCAACACCTGCAACATCATCACAACACAGTCAGCACGGATGACAAGAAACCAGCAGGCAGGTTTGTTACAACAAGCACAGCCAGCTTGTTACAGCAAGTGCAAAGTGATCTTCTTCCCAGTAGCAGTATGCCTATATAAAGAGTCTGACACAAAATAGGGCTATAAACAATGACAAGAAGAACGAGCAGATGGAAAAGTAGCATTCCTACACAGGAGAGGAAAGAAAGAAGCAATGGGAAAGCATACAACAACACGTTACATAGGTTAACAAATCTGCCAAACACTACCAAGGAAGATGGACAATATGGATACTGCCATCATACTTGGACAAAAACTAACACTGGCGAGTATCTTGCAATCATTCGCAGGAGAAACAGGTGTCAAAAGCAGAGAGAGAGATTCACAGGGTGTGAATTTTATCCATCGAAAGTAGAGAACAGCCAGACAACACAAGTGTAGCGAGCAAAGAACTTGCTTATACTAAATATACCATAAGTGGTAATTTGGCTTTTTGGCTTGGAAGTCTTTCTGTATTTTTGACTTCTTATTATTCCTTTCGTTTACTTTTTCTCACTTTTCTTGCTCCAACCAATGCTTTTAAGCGAGACATCGAAAGATGTCAAGAACGAAACAATTCAGGGTCTCGTATTTCTCCATTCATTACTACAGAGCTAACCTCACCAACTTTTGGTCAGTGCCTAGTAGCCTACTACATTTCTGAATGCCTCACAAGAAAGGCATTCGTGACATGGGGATTGGAAATACTGCAGATCTAATCTATGTCCTGACAATGAGGGGGGAGGTAGTGCATGCAACACAATGCAGATGGTGCACGGAACTCAATGCAGATGGGCCCTGGCCTCCCCCCCCCCTCTCCTGTTAGAGAGGTTGGTCCCCTGGATGGAAAAGGAGCACGCATCCATCCGGCATATGGGGCACGGAGCTGCTATATCCCGGAGCCTGGAGAATGTCTGGATCACTGCCGACATAAGAATTCATGGAAATGAAGACATCAGAGCAGCCACGCATGATGGGAGGTGCACCTGGCCTGAAAGACGTGGATGATGGGAGGTGTACCTGGCATGAAAGACGTGGGATTTCCATAGACATCTGTGTGAGGGCGGTCGAGCAGAATAGCTGCCAGTGAGAGTCGTCATCTTGGTTCGATAGCCATACCCAAAACAAAATGTTTAGCAGGAAGCATAGAAGTTTGTTTAGCTGAGAGGTTTGAGGATGAGCACAGTCATGTATAATAAAGTTGGCTAATGACAGCCCTGCAGGTGAAGACGAATTCGACAATCATACCCAAGGACTTGCAGGTGAAAGGCATTAGGAGGACACACCCAAAACACACCCAAAACACACCCAAAACACACCCAAAACACACACAGACACACACAGACACACACACACAAGAGAGAGAGAGAGAGAGAGAGAGAGAGAGAGAGAGAGAGAGAGAGAGAGATTTTGCACTATGATCTTGAGACATTAGCCGGCATATTCTATATGATACGTTACAAGCTGCTTCTCTCTCAATGGTTTCTGTTCATGGCTTTGCTTTCACAACACCTGAAGCGAAGGTATCTGATCAACACGAATGATGACGAATCATGTCCATTGACCGTCAAATGCAAAAAGCATTTCAACCTGAGTTCCTCAGCAGCAAGAATCAATAAGTGAACCCGGGTTGTCTTGCTCCCAAGCAGCCAGGCACGTTCACTTATTGATTCTTTGCCAATGACGAGCAAAAAGAGGATCAAACAGAGGTCAAGAGCTCCACCTCTCCGCTAGATGGAGTTCCGGCACACTTGGTGGACATAAGGCCTCCCAAGCTTGGTCCCTTGACATGCCCAGCACATAAGAGAATCCGAGGCAAAGCCACCCTCTACTTCTCCTTCGAGGAGCCACCTCCTACTAATTCTCCTCAAACAACCTCCTGCTCTTCAGCTCTCTCTTTCGTCCCTCAGTACAAATGCCTCCATCTCTCTTATCTTCTCCAACCATGCCTTGAACTCGTTCCCAGACACCGATGCCCACCCAACATCCTCACGCACAGCAGGGAACGGAGAACCTGACTCCATAAGCTTGCCCATCACAGCATTCTTTACTGGAGAGTTCCCTTCCACCCGACTGTTCTTTCCCCACCCTGTAATTATGGTAACCTGCGTTGGAACTTCGGCACCGGGAGCTGCAAGCCTTTCAGCAGCATTTGTTAACCATGAGTGCAGCATGAGTAATGCCATCCCAGCAGACATGCCATGGAAGTCGACTTTCCATTCATCCGGTGTCCATTCGCACCCTCCTTCCCACAAGCTGTCTGACGTATCCCACACCAACAGCTTCGCGCGCTTCCTTAACCCAGAAATCCACAAGGCATCCACCAAGGAATTGAGCAAAGGCCACACTCTATCGCTATCCTCCTTGAGCAGGAGCGACCTGATCGTGTGCATGCATTCTTCCTCCCAATCCTTGTCAGGATGCCCGTCAGCATGCCTGTCCTCCACAGTTAAAAGGGTTCCTACAGCACTGAACAACCTGCTCGGCGACCCCCGCAAACAATCGACCAATGGCAGCGAACCATGCTCACCCCTTCTTCTGCAATTGGCCATGCCAACAAGCAGTTTTGCCAATATTGATGTGTTGAGACCCTGCCCACGCGAAATCTGCTCAAGCTGCTTGTACTTTTTCTTGGCTGCCTCGTATCGACCAGCCTTCAGATAAAGATAGATGAGTGACATGTAAGCAAAACTAGTCGATGTGCAACATTGTTGTTCAAGAGTACTGATCAACTTGTCCACTTCTCCGATCATTCCCCATGCAGCATAAGCATCCACCATCCTGCCACAGGAAAGCACAACACATCCAAATGAGCCCAGCCCTATATATTGCGATACAACATTCCCCCACAGACAAAGCAGGAAGTGGGAACTGTGTCTTCAGGGCCTGACAACAAAAGACTGGACACAAACTGAATGAATGAAGACCAGCACATCAGAGTTGCACAACTCCACATCATTAGATATCAACCTGCTGCAGGCTGTGAGTAATTTCAATACATGTTTACATGTTATTGCAACACACATTGTTTCGATAAATACAAGGACGATAAGAAGACAAAACGCCTCCCCTGAGACAATAGGTTGATGCAATCAAGCAGAGTTTGGTTGGTTGGGGGGGGGGAATTGGGGAGGGAGGGGATGAGGGGCAAGGAAGACAAAATGCAGATAGCTTTCTTCACTCAGCTTTTTGACACTTGGCTCCAAGAGAGCAAGTTCCATGAGATTTCAGCACAAACATAGTCCAGTGGAGCCAAAGGATAGTTCAATTCCATGTTGAAGTTATGCATTATGCATCCCCTCCAATAGTTGACCAAGTAATCTCCCTCCACAGGTGTAGCTGACTATCGTTAAGCCATCAACGATGAAACACATTGTGGGAAGTTAGGAAAAGAAAAAATGAGGTAAGGACACTTACATCTCATACACCGACGGGTCGAACTGCAGTCCAGCCTTCACTGCACAATCAGCCAGTCGCACGGCCTTTCCTACCATCCCTGCAGCAAGATATGCATCGATCATGACACTGTGCGTGCCCGCCCCTATGGAGGACTCCATAGCTGGAATCTTCTTAGCAATCTGTTCCATCTTTGCGACATTTCTGGCCTTGGCATACGCAAACAGCATCGCCCCATACATCACAGGATCTGGCGAAAGGTGTTCCGACAACATGGTTGCAACCGTTCTCTCCATTTCCGCTATCCTTCCTGCTTTGCCGTAGGAATCGATGAGGGTCGTATAAGTGACCCTGTTCCGAGGAATTCCACTTCTGCGCATTTCTGTGAGGAGCTCCTCCACCCTTTCCCAATTACCCCACTTAGCATGTGCATCGATCATAGTCGTGAATGCAAACGAATCAAGGTCGCTGCCGTTGTCCCGCATTTCCTTGAATACCGCCTCCATTTTCTCAAACGCTCCTCGCTTCCCATATGCATTGATCTGAAAGGGCGAAACCATTATGGAGAAGACTTAGTGCAAAGAGGCCATGTGACTTGTGCGGAACCAATTGCCGGCATTTAGCATGTGTGCTCCATAACAACTTTTTGATAGTATTTGATACTCAACATTGCCATAAGGTCAACACCACCGCAAGTGTCAGAGTGCGACCTGGATACGCTATTACCAGCAGAGACCGCTAGAGCCATTCTCCATTCTTCATTACCCAACCGGATACAAGGACACATTTCGCAGTATACATTTCCTGATCTCAGACTTAGACGCACAGCATCAAGGACACAAAGCAGAATAGAGACTTGCGAGGAAGTCCAGGGGAATCAATTTTGTCTGACACAATGATCACCATATTAACTGATAGCTCTCAGGTTCAGGACTGAAGTAATAGCAGTGAGGCTAGGCGGTATGCATGAGGACATTTATTGCAGAACCTTCATGCAGTACCCAACACAGCAATTCGTGTTTTTACGAGTACTCGACTCACACTTTATGTAGTTGTTTGAATCAATTCACTTCAGTAGATTTATTGACATAAGCCGCCACTGAATTACTATCTTGACATTCCAGCTTTGACTGCTCACCTTTCAACATGCTCGCCAGGGCTAAATTTGAATTTTTCAGTGCTCATATCACAGTGTAGCTGGTTGAACCAACTTGGTTTAACCTACGTCTCGTGTTTGCCATCTTCCTGCCCCCCCTGGTGGTGTTGAGCAAGAACCTGGTCTCAGACAAGCCATCCAGAATCTCTCACACATGATTTCGCACTGGCACTGCCAGTCAAAAGCCTGGCGCACCTGCACGATGCGAGCGCGGTGATTGCTCTTACTTGTATGCTCTTTACTAATGAAAACCGAACTTCTCACGTTCTTTTTCAGAGGAGTCTAGCAACAGCTAACCTTGCATTCAGTTCCTCGTGTGACAGGGTTTTACTGACCCTACCGTAGATCAGACCTCACTCTTCTTTCTCAGACCAACATGGACTATTGTTAAACCAGTCCTCCGTATGCTCCAACCTTGTTTCAGCCAGGCCGTCATTTTCCAGACCTCACCCAGTTCAACTTGCTCTTGGTAGTTCCATACTGATCAGGATCATTACGGACCTTGTGTACTGTCATTTGGGCATTACTGTTTCAGGGCTTTCTTTAACTACAGCCCGATTGTTCACACTATGCCAAGTGTCCCTCTCATCGTCCAACCCTCACCTCTGATGCTTCATGATTGATTGGTTTCTGTGAGCTTGCCAGGCCATCTGTCATCTTTTCTATTTTGGTTTTTCTTTTACCCCAAACACACAAATGTGCAATCAGACTCGTTCTCATTCACACTTTTCATGCATGTAAACAGTAGCGCAGCAAACTGGCGACATGCGCCCACTCAAAACTCAGAGATACGGCATCCAGATACGAGTTCACTTTCAATTGGCTATGGCGACTCAGCGCCCAAACAACTCACTGTTCACACACACCGGATCACCCTGGATATCCCACACGCGTAACTCTGAACACTCACACATACACACACACACTTCACACTAACTACAGCTATGGCAGCTATGGCTGCCTCTACCCTATCGCTATGCTACGCTCCTTATCTCTGCCCACTTCGTCCTTCGGGCATACTGCAGACCTCCTTGCACAAGTCGCTGTGGCAGCGCTTCCGCATTGCTACCGCAGGAATGAATGAAAGGCTGGGCGCTGCCTCTTGATTTATACTTCTGAAACTCGGTGGTCTGCCCCTTTCCATCGGCCCATGGTGCTCACAGTTCCTCGTGGTACTTGCTGGACCAGACTGGGACTGACTGGACCTTACCGCTGACTAACTGTGGACTCACTGCTAACCTACCGTAGTCGTACTGCAATTGCACGGCAGTTTAGTCCACCACTTGCCCACTTGCCCACTTGCTGACCTTCTAGAAGGACTACAGCTAGACTTCTGGAACTCTCTAAGACTTCTACTCTATAGATCTACAGATCGAACCCCTGCTGCCTATGGACCTATGACAGACGTACCAACTGTCTACGAATACACAGGTCACAGGTTCAACTCTCGGGGTCTACGCAGATACTGTACATGGGTAGGGCAAGGTCTAGGGATCGAACCCTGGGTACTGCATCTGCTACTGCTAAAAGGTGAAAACCGTTTCAAACGCCCCTTCTATTCTGGTGTTCGGCAGTGCGGTTGCTTATCCCCGGCAAGCATGAACACGCATAGCAAATGATGAGAAGAGAAGCTCTGCCTCAGCACTAGTCACCTCAGGTACTGAGGTGTTGGTGCACTGCAGAGAACGGCAGCAAGACGTTTGTCTGCATGGACCCTCTAGCTGGGAGACGCCTAGCTTACCCAGCCGCTGAGGGGGCTCCAAGCCTCGATCGTCTACACATCTGCGTTGTAACAATTCTCCTGCTGCTACAGGATTGCAGCATCCAACACACCAGCGGTGACCGGCCTCATCAACTCTCCACATTTGCCCTGTTTGACTGTCTAACCCACCACTCCCCTACCCCTTCTGGAGCTACTTAACTTTTTCTTTTTGTTTTACAGGGACTTTCCCTGGCCTGTGCCGCCAGGGCGATCAAGGTGACCGGGGCGACCCGGTTTGGTAACACAGACATCAGTCCTACTTATAGATCTTCTCAGCTGTTTAACAAACAGCCACCTTCTGTCGCAACATCTTCCACTCTGAATCATTTCCATAATTTCCTCTCTCAAACTGGAAAGAACCAACTTTCCTAAAAACATCGGCAGCAAAGCCTACCATTCTAAGACACGCCTACTTTCGCACTCCTTGTCTACCTCGCTATACCATCCTTAGCAGGCCCTACACAGTATGAAACAGGGCCAAGTCACTACGGACGGCAGCAACAGGAACTGCTACTCTCCAGACTATACATCAGATGGCTACATTTTGTTTCCCTACACGAGCACACCGGGGCCGTTGGTATCTTCGTTGCTATTACAAAACAGACTCCCAAATGAGTATAAGCCATTGGGCAGGTTCAGATCGACCAAAGCAGGGAATGGTCTCCATGTTCTATACAACAGGGAGCTTTCCTGCAAGGGGACACGGGGAAAGAGATGCCTGCTTTGGAAGCCAGCTGCAATCGCTTGTCTAAGTGCCGCCTGCCATTGCTCGTCTCTCTCTGCCCCTCACCAGCGCGCACTGGGTCATCCAGATGCCCCAGCAGGCACGCCCTGACGGTCGCCCTATAGCATACAGATCTGACTTCTTCTCCTATCTGTGATCTGGGACAGCATACTGATTTTGTGTCATCATCCCCCATGTGCTCAGGTGGATTGTTTGACAGCTTGCCTGGCCGTAAATGACAGTTAAAAAAACAGCCTGAAAACGACACAACTCAAAAGGAGAGATGTTCTTCGGGGCATACGTTAAGATAGGAACGATACAGAGAAGATTCACATGACCCCTCTGCAAGGATGGCACACATAAATGCAGATGATGTCCAAATTTCGGGGAAAAAGAAACTGAACGTGAGAGATGTGCATGGTGTACAGTCCATGTCGTGCAATATGTTACACATCACACAGAAACTGCATAACACAATACGGGTCCAGCACCGCTCCCACTGTGCGAGGGAAAAGAACGGTGAGGTGATCATAACATGGAGGGAGGGAGATGGGCAGCTTGAGAGGAGGTAGTGGGACATTCAAGGCATTCGAATCAACCAGATATTATTAAAGAGTGAACTAATGCTCAAGTCGTAGCTAAAAGAAATCATAGCCGTGAGCGCGATATGTTTTGAAGGCAACTTGAGAAAGCTGAGGATGGTGCGATGACAATATTGGAAGAGTTGTCATAGCTAGTTTTGGATTGCAGAGTTTGAGGAGAAAAGGAAAGGACGCGAGGAAAACAGGAAACCAGGAAGAGTGAGATCCAGAAGAGAGAGAGGAAAACATGGATCCCAGCCTCTAGATGTGTGTGTGTGTGTGTGTGTGTGTGTGTGTGTGTGTGTGTGTGTGTGTGTGTGTGTGTGTGTGTGTGTGTGTGTGTGTGTGT